TGACAGTTGAAATGTCAACTTTCAACGTCAAATATTCTATTATCAAGGTGGATTTTTTTAGCAACATTTCCACTTCCACGAACAAAACCGATTTTCTCAACATTTGAACTGTCAAACCAGAAAACTTCAAGGGTCAAGTATAACTTTTTTAGCCGCAAGTTACTTTTTCACCTTTCAAATGTCAATTTTAAACGTTAAGGTTTTTTCACTTTTGACTCGGGCTTTCAACCGTTTAAAATGTCAAAGCTAAGAGTGGAAAATGTGATTTTCTAGTGAAATTTCTCCTTTAAAATGCGATTGTGCTGGTCAAAATTTCCTTAATGTTTCCGTACTCCCAATGTCAATTTGGAACCTCATTTGTCAATGTCACATTTCAATTTGGTGACGTTCAAACTGACATTATCAACGTCAAAAACCTTAAARCGTGGAATTCACAGTGTCAATTAGGACATTTGGCTTTWAACTTATTGAAAATGTGGAAAATCTGAAGATMGTGGAAAWTTAAAACGTTTTCCGYMTAGAAGGAAAAAAGCAGGCWGCCTAATTCTAAAGTTCRAAGAAAATCGATTGGAAAGTTGGAAAGCGCGAGTCTCGGGTTGACAGAGTCTGATGATGTTATGTTTKCGAAACGTTTGGCAATGAAAAAGCGCAATTTTCCCSTTCGGAAGCCACAAATGCGYCTGGTCTCCAACCGGTTTYAAGCAATTTTACACGAATTGTCGCAGCTTGTCTGCGCCACTTTKTCTTCAAATTTGCAMGCAACTGTCAATAAATTGACATACATAAATTGCAAATTTCTGACAATTAATCCGTCATTAAATGTCAAYTTTGAAACMCAAACAACCCCGTCACTTGTCATTGAGCTTGTGAAGCTGCATTTGTCAAACCAGCTCCCGACACAAAACTGGCCCTATTTCGCAGAAAAAGGCGCCCAGGGGGCGCCAACTGCGCCTAAGGGCCTTAGCTGGGGAACACCGCAATTTCCCGACAGAAAACCCRAAAAACTCGCCCAACTTCCCCAGAGTTTAACGGCCGCGATGCCATCGACGCATRACTGGACTGGCAGGATTTGACTGRGGGCAAAGGAGCGAGTATGACGTCAGGCGCGAGGCGCCCAACCGGGGGAATAAAAGTCCGGGCCTCCTCCAAAGGAACCAATATATTCCAATCTAGAACAAATAATCGTTTACCTGCTTCCGTGGCCATTTGCGATGCGCCGCCCCTCACCATCGCGCCGGCAGCCGCCCCCACAACCGCCAACCTTCCTAAACAAACACACAAAATGGTTAAAACGGCAATTTTCCCTGTCGACTGAAGGGCAAAACTAATTCCAACCAATAGCACACCTGTTTTTTTTTTAGCGCTAGCTATATTAAGATAAGGAGGCAAACATACCCAATAAACCAGTTGTCCATATTGCACAAACCCTCCCTCACTCTCTTGCTCATTTCGCACACATTGAAAGCGGTGGTTAGACAGAGACAGAGACCCAAACATACCGGGGCTCGTCGCGAAATAAAACTGCGCCCATTACATGGAACCACTCTAATATACAATAAACTCCACACGCTTTCTTCCATTTTACCATACACGTCTTTTGCACTTAAAAAACTTAATTGAACATTTAACACTCTTCGCCTTATTCTAGAACTAGATACACATGAGATAAAGAGGAGGGGCTGCGCCCCCCAGGAATAGAGAGTTACCTATTACTACCACTAAAGGTCTTCACCTCTTAACCGGATCTGCTGGTTTGGGCGCAGTCGGCTGCCGCCCCCTCCGGGGAGTTTGTAGCACGAGCGAACCCCATCTAGAGCCAAATGAAACAAGAGAAACCATCAAAACTCCCCAGCGCGCGTCGCGCTCACTCACCAGCTCTCTATTCGTATTTCAAGAATCCCTTGGGGTCCTGGTTCTGGCCGGGGGGCGGCCTGGAAGGCCACTGGCCGCCCTCCTGTCCCCCGCCAGGGCCCCCTCCGCCGCCGCCCTGCGACATCCAGTTCAGGAACCCCGGCCCGCCGCCCCCGCCCTGGTTGCTGCCGCCCTGATTGTTCCCTAAACCGCCCTTAATGCTCAACCTAACCGCACTTCGCCCATGCACACACACTCACCGCTGTTATTGTTGGGGCCGTTGTTGAAGCCCTGGTTGAAATTGGGCTCGGGCTGGTTCTGCAGGTTGCCGATCAGCCCCCAACTCGCCTGGTTAAGGGCGGCGGCCACCAGCGCCGGATTCATCGGCAACGCCCCCAAGTTCAGCCCCAGCCCCAAGGGGTTGCAGCCCCCTTGGTTGTTGTTCTGGCCCCCTTGCCCCGTTATGCCTACGAGAAACACATGGCTAAAATTAGAGTTTATTGACACAGAACACTGGGGGGGGCGACTAATCGAAGCAAAGGGAGGCGGATGGGGGGTCCGGTTGGGGYGCGCTGGAGGCCCGAGTGCTGTAGCCTGCAACCGAAGAAAATCTGCTGGGGACTGGGGAAGGTGAGCGGGGGTTCGAGTGAGTACCTGGATGCTTGGGGGCGGCGGAGGGGCGGACAAAGGAATCGGGGGCCAGCAGGCTCACTGAAACGGGAGGCAATCGATCAACCGCCCTGGGGGCGCAAAACGCCACTCACCTAAAGCCTGCAAGTTCGGCATGTCGAGGTTGCCCCTGGGGCCGCCCTGGTTGCCCCAATTGCCCTGGTTGGGCCCTGGCGGGCCGTTGTATCTGCAACACCGCCAAAGCAAACGTCAAAACTGTCACTTTGACACAAAAAAGTAGGGTTACCTTTGCGGATACATGCCGCCGGGCCCTTCAGGTCCGCCCGGGGGGCCGCGATTGGTCCCATGCAGGCGCATGTCGCCCCCTCTATGATCGTAGCCGTGCTTCGAGGAGCGGGTCTCCGCCTTGGGCGCTGCATTTGACACATGGACCGACACACCTAGACCAATCAGCGTTCGAGACGACAGTAGGCCACGCCCCCCCACCCTTCCATACCTTTGATAATGTGGTCTTCGCCGCAGAGGCTCTGCGCCACCTCCGGATCGAGAAACGTCACAAAACTGAAGGCTCTGAACGGCTTCGGGATGAAGACGTCGGTGACCTCGCCGAATTTGCCGAAATACTCGCGCAGATCGTCGGCGGTGAGATCTTCCGTGCATCGGCCAATGAAAACCTTGCAGGGCACCTGCTGGATGAGCCCCTCCTACAAAACCCCATTGGCTTGAATCGACTTGAAACGTCAAATTTAGACAGCTGTCACATGCATGGGAAACCGACAGGTGAGTGAACTGTCACAGGCGGTACTATGAGCATGGGTGGCTTGATTTCGGATGCTTTCTGAGTCGATTCGGCTCGTTCAATTGCACAGGTGAACGAACCGAACTGTCAACATCCCCCCCCTTAGTGGGAAAAGACTCACCTTCGAATTGGGCACTTTGACGTCGCACCATCGACCGTCAATCATGTGCCGTTGCGCCAAAACGCGCATCTGCGACTCGTACGAGGCGAACCGAATGAAGCCGAAGCCCTTCGACTGGCTGGTTTTCGGGTCCTTCTTCACCTGCAACCGTCAGCGATATAATGAGGCACTGTTGCCGCTTCGCCGGGAAAATCAATGTAAAATGCATGGGAAACCCACAGGAGAAGATCGGTCTCAAGCGGTACTATGAGCATGGTTGTATGATCTGGGACGTTTCGGCCAGCCCCACCTCAGACTCGAGGTGGGACTTTTCGGCGAGTGTTCCCCTATGTGGCGAAACGCGGTGGTGGGGGGCTGGACTCACCTGCGCCATCAGCACTTCACCGAACGTTTCAAAGTACTCGCGCAAGTACAACTCGGTGGTCTTCCAGGGCAGGCCCAGTACAATCAAATCAGTACAACGCAACTTCGTTTCCATGCGTTTGGTCTTGGCCGTGGAATTTTCCAAATTGTCGTCACTTTTCCGCTTGTTCTCTGCGGAAGAAGGGAAAACCGGTTAACCAGCGCTAGCCCAGCGGGTGGGTTTTGCCGCTTCCCCTTAGGGGGAATTACCTTCGGTTTGCACCATTTTACCTTTTCAAGGGCCGCCCAATCCCCCCTTGATTGGCCACATGCAAACTGGTTTACATTCGGCTACTGTCGTAAATGGGCGGCATGCATG